CTCTCTCTCTCTCTCTCTCTCTCTCTCTCTCTCCTTCTCTCTCCCAAACAGACTGTCACCAACTGCTGCCTATGCACCCTTTACTATTATTCCCTGAAAGTCTTCAGATTATTATTTTACATAAACTTTCCCTTGAGAGAAATTGTGAGCATGATAATGTTTGCCCTATAATCGTCAGTAAATTAGAAATCAGATCTTTATTTAAAATTACAAGCTGCTAGGCAAAACGGACCAAAACTATAGCATAGTTATATTTGTAATATCACATTATTGTGCTATGGCTTCAGTTGCATAAAAAGCCTTGGAATAGTAATAAACATTTATGTAAATAGATAAACTAATTTCAACACAGTACGACATAATTAATTGGCGACAGTTACAACGTCCACTACACAAAAACAGAAGAGAATTTTGTAAAATTTGAACACAAAATCGTTACATAGCGGTAAACATTTGTTCTGTAAGATGAACTAACATTGATACAACATCTTGTCGGCCATGACAACAATCAATAATATAAAGACAGTCTTGGTTTCGAGTTTAGTTCCATAGAAAAACCTTTTAATTGTGGTGAACAGTTATGTATAAAGATGACAGAACTTGGGCTAAGACAGAGTCTCTGGCTTGGTAATAGTGATACCAATCGTTACACAATGACGGTCTTAGTTTTGGCTTAACTCTTAGAAGTTGGCAGTTCTGCTGGCTAATTGCTACCTTATTATTTTGTTATTAATTATTAATCTGAAATATCTGCTTGACTATTCTACATTTGTGATTGGTTTGTTGATCGCAAGAGCAAGGTTACGACTTGTAATACTTGAATTACCCGAAACGTCTTTGAAATGTGGAAAACACTTATTATGTTTCAAGATGAAAGAACTTGGAAACAGTTATTCACACCTGCGCGACCTCCCAGATGAAGAGCGTTACACGATGAATGTCTTGGCCTCTGCCAACACTTTCTTACCGCACTGGGGACATTTTTTACACTTTTTGGCACAGCCCAAACAGCTGACGAGATGTGAGCAAGGCAGGAAAGTCGTCTCCACTGGTCGTGAGTTGCACACAGAACACGTGACCTTGTCCTTCAGGTACCTCCGCTCACGTTCAAGGACACGCAACAACTGCTCCCTCCGCTGGGACTGCGTGAGTTGTGGCCTCTTGTTCCTGTTGCAGGCTTCTGTTTCCGAGTGACCCTGGTTCACTTCTGGTTTCTGCACGACTTCTTCTTCGCCTCCTTTTCTCTTCTCGTCAATTCTCCCCTCATCCCAGTCTTTTTCAGTAACCTTTTTGCCTCTTTCTGAAGTTTCAGATTTTTTGCCCTTTTCAGTCGTTGCTGGGGCTGAAGAATTTAGTTCGATTTTAATCTCGTTCACATCAACAGAAGTTGGGCAGCAGGTATTTGAACTTAAGCCTTGAGTTGTTTGATTCTGAGGTTCAAACTTTGGTGCGGTGTTGGTGGCTGTGGGAGATGTATCTCGAAGTGGTGACGTCAGATGACCCTTCACCGGTCCTGAAGCCGGTGCCGTACTCACGTCTGCCGTGCCTGCAGCAGGCGGTGCTGTGACGTCAGCCTGTGCTCTCACTGGCTGCTCAGCGCTCTCCTGGAGTCTCGTCGCTACGTCACTCACGGCGGCACGACTGCCAGAAAGTCCTTCACGAACAGTTTCGTTTTCTTTTTGACCTCCCCATTGGACTTGACTTTCCCCTTGAGCCTGGCCCTGAACTTGACCTTCCCCTTGAGCCTGGCCTTGAGCTTGACCTTGAACCGCTCGCCAGTGTCGGAAGAAAGGAACGTTCTCGACGCCCCCATAACCGTGGCAAAAGTCGGCAAATTCGTGGACGATGTTCCACTCCTCAAAGTCCGCGTCGATGATACAACTCAGCAACTCCGCGGCCTTGGGATAGTTCCTCCCACGCACTGCACACGCGCGCACCGCGCTCACGATCAGCTGCCTCTCCCCCGGAAGTGCGTATTCCCTCAGGTTGATCTCCACAGCACGGACGGAAGCGGAAGTGAGATAGGACTCGTCGACGCTCACCGAGTCTAGCACAGCCTTGTGTTCTCTCAGGGCACGTCTCAAATGTACTGACGGTGCTCTCTCGACTGAGGAGTTCAAGGTCGAGGACTCGGGGTTCAAGGATGTCAGAGATGAGGTTGTGCGTCGTTCTTGTCGTGACACTGATCTCTCTTTTGGGCGGACATCTGGGGGTCGGGACAACGGCCCGAGCCCTGGTTGTGGGGTGGTGGTCAAGCTTGGATGGTGGGCATTGTGGAAGGTAGCTATAGGAGAAGCAGAGGGGGGGG